TTGCTCCCTTGCCTTGAGTCTGTTCCTTCCCAGGTTTGCCGTGCGCCTCCCTTGCCGCGACTCAGGCTCCGCTCCGCAGGGAAGGAGAGGGGGCAGCCTTTGGGAAGGAGCGTGGCTGACTCCAGAACAGCGCTGTCGGGTGTGCTTTGCTCCTCCTCAGGGCTGCTGAGGGTGTCATTTGCAGCCTGGGAGAAGCGGCTTCTGCTGGAGCGCCGCTCCCCCGCGGGCAGCGGGGCTCGGTGCCGGGCGCTGACCCGAGAGGGAGCGCGGCGCTCGGCTGCAGCCTCCGCACCGCCCGGCTCGGCATAAACACCTTCGATAAACAGCTGACTGAGCCTGCCCTAAGGCCAGCAGATGCATGGGGTGCTCTTTGGTTCTTCCCAGACACAAAAGTAATTCTTTTTTCTTGAGTCGTGCCTAGCAATGGCACAATTATTTTTGGAGCACACCGGGACAGCGCTGGTCGTACAACTGCTGGCCATTGCTTGTGGCAGGAGTGTCAAACATATGATGCTTAGACCCATCACTTTTTATTGTTAGGTGATTGTCCAGCTCAATTAAAAATTTTCTTATTGCCTAGTAAGACAGTGCATGAATCTGAGTGCCCAAACTGAAACATGTTAATGGTCTCTGAACCTTGATAAGCACCGCAAGGACTGTGTCAAAGATAACCACGTAAGTCTGTGGGACATTCCAAATGTACTTTTTTCCAATACCTTTGGCTAGACACCTGGGTATATTTCATACACATCACTGCCTACAGATGTGTACTTTGAAAACAATTACATTTTTTGGTGTTTTATTTTTGGTATAATAATATTTGGTATATTAGTAGTAAATTGATATGGAGGTCATCAGTATTGATGTGTTGATGATTTTTGCATTATTTTTATGTACTGATCGTATTATTATGTGTTTTCTGTGTAGCATTTTTAGAAATGGGACCCTAGGATGCATCTTGAGTGACACTATTGGAATGGCTGTGTGAGGTTCCAGCATTTAATTTAGCTGAGGAGGGGGACTAATTCTCAGTACAGAGCTGAGACTCTCCATAGTGAACATTTTCCTTAAAAGTGAGAAACATTTTCCTTTAAAAGATGGACACCAGTCTAAGTTTTTCCATTACTCTGTGTGAAACTGCTGTCATCTCTCCCATCCTCCTGTACTCACCTCCATATGGGCTATTGCTTGCATCCTTACCTCCAAATGAAGCTTTCTGTTTTATAAGTGGCCAGTGACACTTCTCTGCTCTTGTGGTCCCACATGAAGGTGATTTTACTCCAGAACAAGCCATTAGAAGATGTTATGTATTCTGACTTTCATCCTTTGAGGGAACTTACTTGCCTGACAGCTGACAGAAAATTTGCTTGTCGTTCTAGGATCTACAGCAAACAGAAGACAGTACAAGAGACTTTGGTGCTGATTTTCAGGACACTTGAGCAGGACTGTAAAGCTGTATTTTCCCCTCTTCCCCTTGACTCTAGCCATTGTGACATATGGTCAGCATTTGACATGGCTGCAGCTGAGCAGCTCCCCATTTAGATCTGGGCTGCATCTGCCTCCAGAGACTCAGGTGGAATGTGAGCCATCTGTCTAATGTTAAATGCAGAGACAGCCCAGAGATTGTGCCCTTATATGACGTTTTCTTTTATTTCCTTTAAATAAATAGATTAATCATTCTTGATCTTACAAGCTTGAAAACAAAGGAGGGTTAGAAACTACAGCTGAGAAAATGTTTTGGGGGGCTCCTAAGTACAATGAGCTCATTGACATATGGGAACAAGTCCAGTGGAGAATAGCTAGGGACTGGGGCATATGATATAAGAGGAAAGACTCCAAGGACATCTGGGTTTGTGCAGCTTGGAGCAAACCCAGCCTTAATGGGATGTTTTAGAGAAGATACAACCAGTCTTTCCACCTACAAGTTGCAACTGCTATATATTAGAAAAAAAGCATACAATAATCAGGATAGTCAATGCTGGAAGTAGAGGGGACCTCCATCACTGGAGATCCTTGAAGTTCCAGGGCTCTAAGCATCCAACTGCAAGCTTGGCTCTGCTTTGGGTGTAGGAGCAGATGACCCATAGACCTCCTTTGCAAACTAAATTATTTGATAGAAATTTAGCACACAGCATGAAGGCAGGAAATTAGCAGCTTCGTGCTAGGGGATAGCATGAGCACAGGGCAGCTGAAGCCATACATAATTTATATCATATGATCATCATGGCATGAACTATTTCCCTGCTCTTTAACCAGGTGTGTTACTAGACTAGCACTATCAGATCAGATCAGATCAGTGCTGCAGTGGTTCTTGCAATGCATTACTTGGTTTTGGCTTGTCAGTCATTCCTTTTCTCCAAGCAGTGATAAGAATACTGGCAATGTGGTGACTGCTTTGGCATTATTTGCACCAGGTAGGCAATACTCATTCACATAACAAATGCAACTGTGCTCATATCTCATGTAACTGTACCCTCCTGCAGTACACCAGCCTCAAACAACTGAGCATTTCTTCAACTTTCAGCATTTATAATCTTGTGAAAATATTAAGACAAACACACGTATTACTTGCATTTCAACCTTCTTACCCAATTTATTAGCATAATTTTTTTCCCTGTGTAGTCCCATGATTATAGATGTACAAATCACACGTGGTGAGAGACTTCTCCAGGGTCAAGCTGTTCAGGTATAAGTAATTTATTATTTGGGTAGATGGAGGAAGAGACCTGTTTCCACCACCAGCCTCAGCGTACACGTGGTCAGGGAGGGAGAGAGAGACTGGAGAGGAGAGAGAGAGAGAGGTGCAAGTAAGAGGGGGTAAAAGTAAGAGGGCTTAAGAGCTAGGGGAGAGAAGCTAAGAGCAAGGGGAGTGAGCTTAAGAGAGCAAAGTTCTTGTTACAATACATTTTATCTTCTTTTATAGTGAATATTCTAATTCCCAGTAACCAACCAGTACATGACACACACACTAAAGAATTTACATATAACCTATAAGAACTACTACATTACCATACAATGTTACATTTTAAATTCTAAAAGCCTTACAAATTCTTCTCTTGCTGCTTGACCTTTGGATTCTCTGTCAGCAGAAGGGCATTGTTTCATCAACTAGGATTCTCCTTCAGCTGGTTAGGCTATTGTTCTTGGGTTATATAGTAACTAGCGCTCAGTATCTTATGACTCAAAGCTAGCTTTCATTTCTATTTTGATTCTAAGCTTCATATTTTCAGAATCTTTTGCTAAACAATCATATTCATAAGGTTTCCCTGTTTCATCCTCCCCAACACATGATGACCATCAATTCACTGCCAGTGGCAGGAACTTCCTTCTGACTCTGATGTCTGAAATAGGGAAAATCCACCAAAGACTTCACATACCTGAGAAGCTAAAGACATCCTTTCCCACTTGAGCCACAAACCCAAGCCTGTACCCATACCAGCCAGTGTCCTTGACCTATTTCCTTCAGCAGATATCCCAGATATATCTGCAGGTATATCAGATATTCTGCAGATATTCTGGTCCCAGGACCCAGAATGCTGTGAGATTGCAGAGTCACTTACCATTTGATCATAATTTAAGAGACATTTGGCTGAAATTTTCTTTCTCTTTTTCTCTCTCACGACCTCTCAAAACTCTTTCCAGCCCTGTTTTTCAAAGCTATGCAGAATAAAACATAAACCAAAGCTACTATCTCAGCCAGGCTAATGTTGAAGTATTAGGTTTAAGAGTTCACATATGAGAAGGACATGAAATAATGGAGTCAGAGGCCATGAAGAGGGAAGTTTGGACATGCTGCGAGAAAAACACATATAATCTGTTCATTATAAATGCTGGAAGCCTGTATTGACTCTATAAGCATTCAGACATCTGGAGAACTACATATGTTGCAAAGAATAATGAAATCCTCACTGAAAATCAAAATATTTTGCTGACAAGATGGAAGATGTTGTTTTATTGCACAAGACAATGACAAATAAGTTCACAACCCTTGACCTGGAAGTCTAATAAAACACTAGAGCTGACATAGTATCAGACAATATATAAAAAATGATAAAAAAGATAAACAGGAAAGGGGCATGACTTCATAGATGCATGAGTCATGAGTAATTTAAGGGACCCTGGAGTAGTTTCTGCCAGTTTCATCGGGCACGTCATTCAGCAACACCTTAAACCCAGACACTGCTTCTGGCCACCTGGTTCAAGAGCTCTTCTGCTGGATGGGAGTCAAGCAGACAAGGAAGAAACTAGTCCCGTTGGCTGTATTTAGTGACATGAGTCAGGCTTTTCTTGTCTGGAAGAACTTCTGCTTCATCCCATTTGTGCAAGGGTGAGGGTGAGGGGGTGACATGTGGCTGGGCAAGCGGCTGTGTGAGCATTGTGGGGTCCACCAGCACTGCTTTCAGGATGAATCAGAGGCTAAGAAGTAGGTACTCAGTGAAGGTCATGGTTTCTAGCCAGCAAGGTTTTCCCTCCCACCATCCCCCCATGTCAGTTTGATCCCTGAGCCCGTGGGTGTAGGCTTGTGTCACCATGGCACTGTCTCAGACAGGGTGCTGCCTTTGAGTCACCAGCTGCCACACAGGGTGACCATCAGTCCACCAAGCAATAAACTGAGTAGTATTTGATAGCATAAAGTGAAAGCAAAAGACAACGCTGTACCTGGTGCTTCTGGATCTCCTCACTCTTGAATTCCACTGGAAAACCTCCATGGGTGCTGTGGTCAGGACCAGGCTTGGAGCCACCCCTAGGTGACCATAGGGCTGGGTGGTGCCACTGACACTGAAAAGTCTTTGGTTTTAACATTTTGTCCCTGAAAGTGCTGCTGCTCATCTTGGAGGTGTTTATGGCATGCAAACAGAGGTTGATGTGTAACCTCAGCTGTCTAATGCTCATGGTAGTAAACTGCCAGTGACATTTGTCAAGAGTTTTGTTCTCAAGCACAGGGAGCACTGAAGTGTGACAGGAAGCAAAGAGAAAATGTACACAAAAACAGGAAAAGGAGGGGAAACTGGGCATGAATTTGAGAGACTGGGGCCACACTGGATGAGGTGGAAGGCCAGACTGAGCCTCAGAGTGGCAAATGTGAGGTGGCTTATGATCTCAGGTAAGATGCAGGGGCTAATACTTCAGGCAGCAGATCTATTAACTACTAGGAGCATTAACTAGTGTAGTAACTACAGGCAGCACTCAGGCTGTCCTGCCCCTTCCATCAGCTGTGCACTTCTCCCTGCCATGAGGGTTCCACAGAAGTTTGTGAGGAGATGGGGCTGGGAGTCTTTATTTTTGTCCTGTGAAAATGTTTGGGATTTCAGAGCAGGATATCAGTCAGCTGGGAATAGAGGAAAGATCCAGCTCCAAAGTGACTGGAAACTCCTAGATTTGGTACAGGAGTAACCTTTCTCTGTAGACTGCTACTAGGAAAAACTAAGAAGTCAACATTTTCTCAGGATAAAGCCAGAAAATATGGTTCTTATTTAAGATCAGCAGTAATCAGAGAAAGACCTTTCCTCTGGTCCTTCTCATTCCAGGGGCTTGGAGAGGACAATCCTTACACTTTCTTTCTGGAGACACATCTTTGGTCTCTAGCAACAGCTTGGGCAGGACTCTGGAGCTCTGCACGTGGCCTCTGAGGAAGCCCATGAGCATCTGCAGAGGTGGGGAACCACCAGCCATGCTCCACGAACCAGCTGCAGTCACAGAGTGATAACATACCCCTGCTGGATCCCAAGGAATGGGATGAAACCCAGGAAAATCAGTAAGCTCCAGATGCTCTTAATTTAAAAACTAAGGCAAATGAGGCCAAAAGCTTCTCAGTGCAGAGAATGATGAATGCAATCCGCTGTTGCTGCTGCTGTGCTGCTATTATTACTCATAATGAGGAATGACTCTTTTTTCATTTCAGATGCCTTTGAGAGGTTTCCCTGGTAGAAGCTGGATCAACTGCTTTCCCAGATAGGGGGATTTTTCTGTCTCCCTGTGCTGTGATGTGTCAGTGCAATGTAAGGCATGGAGCCCCTGCCCTGCCTGAACAGTAATCAGGAGAGAATGTTTCTCTGGGAGCCCTGCTCCCCATCTTCTCTCACCACTGCTTATGTGACTGGGAAGGAGCACCACAAGCCTGTGATGAGGGCATAACCAGTCCTATAGAAGAGAATTGCTTCAGAATTTGAAATGAGAAATGCAGCATGCACATCCTCCGAAGCCTCCATGCTGTGAAAAAAACCAAAGTGCCACAACACGTGTGGGGCACTGTTGAAGGAAAAGCGATGGATTTCCTCCTGCTGCAGGTTTCCTGCTTCATTTGTAGGGCTGTGCAAAGGGAGGCACCACACAGCCCAGCACAAGGCAGCTGAGCAAAAAGGGCACATTGCTATTGGATCATTCTCACCTCTTGCTTGTCCTTCTGCTAGGGTAAGGTGTGTTGAAAGCAAAACCACTGATTTCCTGCAAATCAGTCATGCAGGCACTGTGTTTTGCTGGAGGCATTGCTTGTGGGGCAGGAATCATTCATGGGGGACAGGAGGTGTATGGGCACACATCCAGGATAAGAGAGACATGCCTTCCTGAGCAGCCTGTGGGACACTGTCTAGCAGCCCCTTCATCACCTTTCAGCCTTACTTAGATCCCTACAGTTCAGTCTGAGGTCTGTTGTGGCATACACCACTTGCTCTGTGGTCAGCCAAACCTGCAGCACTGAGTTTTCAACTGTGAGCGCACTCACTGAGCCCTTTCACACTGGCAAACCCAAAGACAGATGTGGTGGAGGTACTTGCACTACCTCCCCATGCCTCAGCAGTGAGTGACAGCACCTGGCCCCCAGGGTGTTCAGAAACCTTCATGTGCGCTGCCTACCCAAGAAACTCATCTGCACTCTGCCCCCAAGGTGAGAGTCTAATAGGAATTCTTTGAGACACTGATCTTTTGTGAGACAGACAAAAAAAATGCCATAAGTAACAGCTTTGATAGCATTTAAAATGAATGCCCAGCTAGTAGCACACACCCCCAGCAGAGCTTATTTGAAAATAACTGCATTTTCACTTAGTTTCCATGTAGAGTGCTGAAACAACAGTTTTTTAAAGCACTCCTTTTGCTCAGTGGTATCTGCTTTCCTGCTCCATGCTTAATCTCTTTCATACCCTAGCTGGCTTTTTATAAATTGTGGTATAACTTCACTTAGGCAGGGACATGCAAGGTGCTTTGGTACTTCCACCACTTTGCTCAGTAAGTGCCCTGAGAGTATTTGCTGAAGCTTGCACTGCATTTTAGCTGGTTTCAGTTCAACTGCAGACTTCTACTTTGTCAAATAAAACTGTTGAGATGAGTCTGAGTCGGCTCAGCCTTTTGTTTTCAAATAATGTAACATAGAAGCATATGCATCTTCCTTTACCAAAGAAGAAAAAAAAAGGGCAGGAAGGCAAAAGAGATGCTTGGAATATTTCCTGAACTACACAATGATGAGTGCTTCTGTGTTTGGTGCAATCTCTTTCTCTGGCCAAACATGGTAAGGAAGTGACTCTGCTCCCCACAGCACACGCTTGCAAATATCTCTTTTCAGCTGCTGGAGGAAGAGAGGAGGCTGCGTGTCTCTGCTGCTGTGAGCCTGAGTTCAGAGAGAGCCAGCAGTCCACAGAGACACTGTCTTTGTATCAGATTGGGGAGGAAGTGATTAAAAATTATTTATTTCAAAGATAAGTGCAGATCACTGAATTGTTCTTTGTTTATCTCAAATGTGATAATTAAAAAAAAAAAAAAAATTAAAAAAATCAATGTTAGTATTTCCACAAATCCATAAAGCCAGAGCAAGCAAAGGGGTCTTGCCAGCCCACCCTAATCCAAGGCAGGGATTCAAACACCTGGGGCTGGTGACAACCCCTTTCTGGCTTCTAGACTTTCCATCCACTCCTGATCACAGGAACACAGGATGTAGAACTTGCATAGAACCACATCCGTCCCCATTTCCCCTTTGAGGCTCAGCATCTGCTCTGACCCTTTACTCTGAGGCTGCACTGTCAACCCAAAACCAACATTTCACCAGGGGAACTGCATTAGAGCACGTTATCACTGCAATATGCCCTGCTGTGTTTCTCACCAAGGCCTGGGAGTGGTATGGAGAGGAGAAGGGTTGCTCATTGCTGTGGCTTTTGCCCTTCTCCTGTCTGTGGCTTCTGCTGCCTGTGGCCAGCTTCCCAGTGCTCAATTTCATGCCTCTGAATTTGGCCACCTGATTTGGAAACTTCAGTTGTGCTAATCTGTGAGCTGGAGCCTCTGCCTTTCGTCAAATAAACGAATGGTGTAAAATTTTACCGCATGGTGTGAAAAGCCTTGCATTCACCCATTTTCACTGCATTCACTCAATTTCTGGTGAAACATGCCCTGAGTAGAGCATTGGAGCCCAGCAGACCACAAGCACTGCAGAGAGGATGTGTCTGTCTCTGGCTCCTGGCTGCCAGCATACCCAGGGACCTGGTGAGGTGATGCTGAGCTGGCAAAGGCAGCCATGGAGTCCTGTATCGAGAAGTGACCTATGTTAAAGTCTTGATTTGCTTGAACAAAGGCCAGCTGTCTCTGAACATTGAGCAGGTTTCCTTGACTATGTTAAAGCACTCTCTGCATCTAGTCACCAAAGGTGTTATCTTTTGCTAGTTGCAGAAGAGAGGTCTGTAGCAGAAGGGGAGGATAAAAAATATCAGGAGCAGTAGACTTCATTTTGCTTGACAAAGCACTGTCTGAAGTGGCACAATGTGAAAATAATAAAGAGCTGAAAGAGAAGAAGGCTGGTAAGGGAAACCTGTGGACTATTTGACAAGAGGAAGGCTGGGATCTGTTGATTTGGACCCTGTATTTCAGCTGGGCTCTGCTCAGAGCCACCCTGTCTGTCACAGAAAAGCCATAAGCAATGTTTCTGACAGATAGGAAGAGATATCTTTAGGCACAAGGAAAGGAATACCCACAAAAGTCAGCTCCCTATTTCTGTCTCATATTCAGAGCTGCCAAGTTTCATACTCAACTATAAATCTATTGCTTTCTAACTATAAAGCTGCCTTTTTGTGTTTTAATAGGAAATTATCTGAGAATTTATCTGAATGGCATTTTCATATGATTTAAGAAAAAGCTGTTGATTGTAGACCTCCATAAGTGGTTTGGTAAATAAATATAAAACTGAACAAAAAGATGATTTGATGTTTCCAGTGACAATTTGGTGGCAATTTTCAGAGATACAATAGTTCTGCATGTAAAACACATTTATTTTTATATCATGGCTGGCAGGAATCAGATACCCTATTTTTTATTTTTTTTTCCCCTGCAAATTCATCCAAGAAATTTTGTGGTTTGGTATTAACAATGCTCAGAAAAACTCATTGACTACTGCTTTTTTGCTCCCATTAGTAACACCTTCTGGAGGTAGTTCCCAATAACTGCATAATATAGTATAAACCACATCACTGCCCCAATACTTTTAAAGGTTATTTATGACTGTAATATCCTGTGAAGATTAGCTGTTTCAAAATTCTCACACATTGTGAGATGTGTTTACTAACACAATTTATTTCCAAGCCTTACAAAGAGAGTGAGAAATACAGGATGGGAGAAGTTGCAATAAATATCTTCTATGCAATTTCCAAGGTGTTATTTAACTTGCAAGTCACATTTGGTAGCTGCAAATAACAGAATAATATTTCTGCCAAAGTTAAACTTTTAAAAATACATCACATTTAGTATTTTCTATCTAGTTTTTTCTTTTCATTACTTGCATATTATTTACTATTGCCATTATGCATTTAAGAATGCATTATTCTTACTATTATTCTTAATGTTATTGAGTAGAGTTAGCCCAGCTTCAGTTATTTTAGAGTGTACCAGAAAACAAGAAAAAAAATTACATTTATACATCCTAAGTTTGCATTTTCTGATTTTTAATTTAAGAGATTTCAAACCATAAACTGTCCAAAACCCTCACCCTAGAATACAAGAGGAGGTCTTACCTTCATTATTACTTCTGTCAAAAGCAAAAACCTGTGTTTTTAAACCCAGAAGAATATTTTATTGAACCCTTGTTTACTAGGCTTTCTGTGAATAATGTGCCTTGAGCACTGCTGAAATGTAATAGCAAGTAGTTATGTAATGAGGGGAGAGGGTTTCACACTGGAATTAGTATGGGGGGGCAAGTGAACGTGTCATGGGGAGTCAGAATGGGCAAAGTTATCAGTGATGTCCTTCAGGAGTGCTTTTGGAAACCAATGCAATCCAGTTCTTTCATTATTCACCTGGGTACAAGAACATGCTCTAAGCTTAAGACATTTGCCAGTAATATTAAGCGGCACAGGGCCACTAAATGCTGAAAAGGATGGAGCATCATTCAGCAGAGAGGACCAGAGGACCCATCAGAGCAACAGAAACAGAGTGAATTGCAGAAGCAGAAAGAGCAAAGCCATGAGAGTGGGCTCATAAGCAGGGTCCCTGTGTCAGCAGGGAAGAGGGTGATGTGGAATGGTGGCTGAAGATTTGTGAACCAGCAGTGTTCACTGATGGGATTCAATCTCAGCCACTCTGAAGAGCAGGATCGAATGTCTGGGGTAGTCCCAGGTGGTCCTTTTCCAGCCTTACCTTGCTCCATTTCTATGATATATCAATCCAAGCATGTTCAGCAGAAAAAAAGAAAGCTTTAGTACAACTATAGAAGCCATATGTATCAATACCTGGAGAATACCAGAGTCTTTTTATATTTGAAAAAATAGAGGGAATTTAAACTGAAATGGGACCAGAGAAATTCTACCAAGGTGATGAGGAAACTGAGAGTAACAAATGAGAAGAGATTATTGGATCTTAGCTTATTTAGCTAAGCAGAGAGAAAGGAAAGAATAGGATTACTTTTTACATTACTCAAAGAGTAAAGAGAAAGAAGATCAGGGGAAAGTAGAGGATAAGAGTCATGGTACAAAATGTACAAATGGTACAATGAGTTCTAGATTTAGAAACTAAACTTGTTGAACATAACCTGCCAACTTCCTTCTTAATAAGTGACCAGTTTTGTGGAGATGTGTGAGGGGATTTCTGCCTTTGTCTTTAGCCTGAGAGGCTGAACTCAGTTAGGGATGAGATGGTGTGGGAGCACTGCTGGCAGCTACTTTGGCATGCCTTGCTGATTTGCTCAAGGTTAGACTAATTACCTGAACTGGGGTCATTAACCAGTTTTACCCATCAGTTCAGGAGGGACTTCTGGGAGAGGGAAAATGCAAAGTTTGAAAAAATAGAGATGACAATTCTGGCACTTTATAAACTCACTAACAAAGCACCCAGAGCAGTAAAACTGGAGTTTAATTTCTCATTTTCTCTGTAGACCTGTAGGATGGGCCCTTTTATTTGAATGGGGTGGCTGAAAAGGCTTTTGTGACTTGTGGAGAAGGCTGGATATTACTCTCTCTGCCCAGTGCCTGTGACTACAGGGTGTTGGTCAGCCTCAGACAGCATTAAGCTCTGCATGGCTGGCTCCCTGGAGGTGTTACCAGGGTTGGGGCACTTTGTGCTTGGGTTTTGTGAAAGAAGCAGCTGGGCACCCTCACACTGCTCAGGAAGGATTGGGTGAAGGTGTGCTAGGCTTGGTGCAGCCTTGGTGATCCATCCTGCCTGCTGGTCTGGAAGCAATTAAAGCATTCCATCAGAGGCCAGTCCCATGACAAAGGAGAGCTTACACTTTCTAGAGCTCCAGGGTTTTCTCAGAGGTGTCACAGGAACTGAACAGGGCCCGTCCTGCACAGTTTGTAAGATGAGCTCACACAGGGTAATTGCCGACTTACATACAAGGAAGCACAAAAGTAGGAGAAGCACTCAAGCCATCAGCCCTTTTCAGGGCATTTACACTTCAGACACGGATTGGAGAGAAGTTTTATTATATTAACAGCCTAGGAAAGAACTAGATTTTCTATAAACACAAAAGAATAATGAGAGCCATTGCCAGCTTGAAGAACTAATGTTTATAGAATTGGACTGCAAACCAATGTACCTCAGGAGCTGAGAGCTGAGCTGCTGCTCTGGATCACCCTGATAACCAGCTCATTCACCGTGCTGCTTGCTCTTTCTCTACCTCTCTCTTCTTTCAGTTCAAAAACTGTTCAGTGTATCTCTAGGCAGGGTATTTCATAAGAAAAAACACCTGAAAATGTAGTCCATTCCTTGGTGAGGTGTGTCTTACCTTACATATGTCTAGCAGAATACCTAGGTGACTGAAATATATTATTAAGAATAATTGCTGGTGATGAGCAATTGCAGACTACCTTTTAAAATGTACCCTTGTATGGAAGCAAAAATATGGAAAAACTAATG